CGCCAGCCTGCACGGCGCGACCTGCTCCCTGCTGTGGCCCAAGTGGAAACCGAGGCACCGAGAGCCGCGGGGCTCCCAGTCCCCGCCCGGGGCTTCCTCTCCAGACCGCAGCGCGCAAGACGCCGGCGACAACGCACTCTCCCTCGCCCCTCTCTGAGACTGCAGCTAGGGAGGAGGATGAGGAGCGCTAAGGACATATCCACCAATTGCAGTGTGGGGACTGGATTGGGATCCGTATTCAACAACTAAAAATGTATAAGACAACTGGAGCTATGTGGTCACTGGATATTTAATGCTTAGGTTTTTAAGGTGTGATAATTATACTGAGGCTCTCTTTTAAGGGGCATTTTTTGCAGATATAGATTTACAAAACTGAAATATGATGTCTGGGATTTGCCTGGAAATAATGGGGACCGAGGAGTGTGCATGAAACAAGATTGGCCATGCGTTGATAACCGCAGTAGCCGTGTTAGCAGGGTCATTATTACCTCATTTTCTTCTTTTATATGTGATTGGAATTTTCCCTAATAAAAAGTTTTTCTTTTTAAATAAAAGAACTGTAAAGATGTTCAGACCCCTTCATCAGGAAATGTGACTAAATTTATCTAAAGGAAAAAAAACTCCTCAGAAGTAAAAAAGTTTTGTGCACCAAAATATTTACTGCAGCAGCATTACATATATATACAAAACAAGGGCGGAGTAGGGGGAAAAGATCCAACTTAAGCGTCCACCAATAAAGAAATGGTTACATAAACTGATACCTCAACTCTATGGGTTCTACAGCCATTAATATGGGCGTTAACCAAGACCGTGTAATAGTAACACAAGGAAACGATTTTATATCCCCCAAAGCCAAATATTAAGTAATTAAGTGCATATGTGTATGCACTTTTATTAAAACAGAAAGAAAATATATTGAAGCATTAGGTTTGCGTGATGAGATCATGCACTTTTCTCTTTTCTAATGAAAATATAATTGCGAACTCGAGAGAGTCTCTTGCAATCCCTCACATTTAATGAAACACATCTCAATACCTGAAAAATTTTTGAGTAGCAACTGAAATGTGTACTGCTGACTGTCAGTGGCAAAATTAGACATTCTCTTCAGAAACGGGTAAGTGTGCTGTTCTGTTGTTCATCTGGTGGTGATCTATATTAGTGCTCAGCATCCTCAAAAACATCTTTTATCACCCAGCTCTTGGTTTCATCCTTTGAAAAAGCAGCTTACTCTCAAGCCCTAAATGATGGAAAATGTCTTCCAGCTTTTGTCAATTTTTTCTTTTGGTGAGGAAGATTGGCCTTGAGCTAACATCAGGGCCAATCTTCCCCTTTTCTGTATGTGGGACGCCACCACAGCATGGTTTGAGGAGCGGTGCGTAGGACCAAGCCCGGGATCAGAACCCGAGAACCCCAGGCTGCCAAAGCGGAGCACACGAACCAACCACTACACCACCAGGCTGGCCCCTATCAATTTTTGATTTAGAAAATAGGTATCTGTGAGTTTCACATGATTCACCTTGGAAGGATGAAGGTATCTTTTCATTTTTACATTTTTTAATGTCAAAAGTTTATAAATATGTATGTGTGGGTACATACATGCATAGAAAAGAGTCTGGAAGGGCATATACCCAAACGTTAATAGTGGTGCTCTCAAGGTTATGGGGTTGGTCAAGTTTATGTATATTTTCTTCTTTCCAACCATCTGTATTTTCTGCTTTTTCCATAACAAACATGTTACTTATAATGCAAAAACCAGTAGGGCTTTATGATCAGTTATAGCCACCTTATAAATAATAAATAATAAATAATAAAAACATGCAGGCAAAATCAAGTGCAGGAAAAACTGTTTCGTTCTGCTGAGTATAAAAAGGACTGCCAAGGTATTCTCAACCACTTCAACTCTACTGTTTGAAAAGTGTGGAAGGTTCGAAGGCATGTAAAACCAAGATTCTGTGTTGACTCCTGAACGTCTTATAAGAAAATAGCATTTGGGCATTCTGTCTGTTCTTAACTATTTTCCAGAACTTAAGTGCAGGTGTATAAGACATTCCAATTTTACATGGTCGTTTATTTGGGGAAAAAATCTTTACTGGATTGTATCATTTTACATGTATTGAAAGTAATTTTTAAATGGCCTTGTAACAAAAATATAGTATTTAATTCATGTGAATATAGCATATTGACTCTAAAGTCCAGAGGGAAATCTTAAGTTCTAGTTATGTAATAATATTCTCCTAATTCTCCAAAAGTATAAAATTTCATAGCTAAAAAGATATACTTTGGTATCAGTGAACACTTGTTCCAATTCATTGATATCAATATAGATAGCAAGCTACAAAGCACAAATTACTAGTAAATGGAACCCAATGCCATACAAGTTGTACTATAAAAACAAATCACTAGTGAAATGCAAATGAAAACCACAGAGAGATACGACCTCACACTCATTCGGCTGGCCACTATCAAGAAAAATAGAAAATAACAAGTGTTACTGAGGATGTGGAGAAATTGGAACTCTTGTGCACTGTTGGTGGGAACGTAAAATGGTGCAGCTGCTGTGGAAAATACTATAATTCCTCAAAAAATTAAACATAGAATTACCATATGATCCAGCAATTCCACTTCTGGGTATCCACCCAAAAGAAGTGAAAACAGAGACTCAAACAGGTATTTGTACACCATGTTCATAGAGGCATTATTCACAATAATGAAGAGGTGGAAGTAACGCAAGTGTCCATTGACAGATGAGTGAATAAGCACAATGTGGTATATACATACAATGGAATATTATGCAGCCTTAAAAAGGAAATACTGACACATGCTACAACATGGATGAACCTTGAGAACATTAAGTGAAATAAGCCAGTCACAAAAAGACAAATGTTGTATGATTCCACTTATATGAGGTACCTAGATTGGTCAGACTCATAGAAAGTAGAATGGTGGCTGCCAGGGGCTGGTGGGAAGAGGGAATGGGGAGTTAAGTGTTTAATGGGTAAAGAGTTTCAGTTTTGCAAGACGAAGAGTTTTAAAGATTCATGGTGATGATGGTTACACAATATGAATGTACTAATACCACTGAACTGTACACCTAAAAATGGTTAGGATGGTAAATTTTATGTGTATTTTACTACAATAAAAAAAACTGGGAGAGAGAGATAAAGAACGGTACTGTGTCAGTGAACACTAATAATTTTAAAAGTAAGCAACTAAATGGGATGTGGTATCCTGAATTGACTCCTAGAACAGAAAAAAGTCCTTAATGGAAAAATGGGCAAAATCCCAATAATGTGTAGTTTACTTAATAGTAATGTACCGGTGTTAATTTCTTAGTTTTGACAACACACCATGGCTATGTAAGATAGTTAACATTAGGAAAACTAGGTAAAGAGTATACAGGAATTCTCTGTCCTATCTTTGCAAGATTTCTCCAAATCTAACATTATTCCAAAGTAAGTTTATTTAAAAATAAAATTTTAAAAGGCAAGTGATAAATAAAAGGAAATTAAAATCAATTCCTACATAGAAGACTACACAAATGTATTAGAAGAATTGATAAAGCAGCAAAATATGAATGCCTATACAGATAGCTACAGTAGGTGTGAAATTTTTATTTTTATTGGGCTGTTCACTGTTGTCTAGCTATTGTCTCATCATCTACTAATTGCAAAAAGGCAGGCTGTTGAATTTTACATTGTAGCAAGATTTCCTTAATGATTCCAGGTGAAGTTTTTTCACTTAGATCAGAAATGTTTCTTAGCATGGAAACAGTGTGAAATTCCTTCTGCCAATCCATGACTTTATATCTTTGATAAGTTGGTTCTAAGTTTGTGAGCATCCTGACTGTTTCAAGTCAATTATGAATTCCAGTTTGGGTTCAGTGGACTCCTAGGTGGTACAACTCAGCCAGACAGACCTGAGTCAGTGCGCCGTCTCCAGCTGTAATATGGGTGCGTTGGATATAAGCTTATTTGGTGGTACTTAGGCACCTGCACATACAGCGTAGGTGGCTTTAGCCACTGGAAGTCCATGTGGAATGTGCTGTAGTTGTTAGAGAAAAAGGATCAAGAAACACTACTATCAGTAAAAATGGGGTGGGAAGCAATTGCTAAAAACATCTTGCTTCATTACGAGTCTAGTTAAACACTATCCTCAGAACTAAGTGAAAACAAAGCTTTACTCAGAAAGACGACCTGAAACAACTAAGTTTTACTTTATCTCCCAGCCCAGCTTCTTTTCTGTTAAAGGTCAACTATGTAAGTTTTGATGACATATAGAAGGGTAGAAAATACACTATTGCTTTTAACGACTCTGCACAAGGGACAAATGACTAAGGCTATTGTATCTCCCTTCCTGGCCTTCTCTGAAATCAGGGGTCTAGACACTCAGGGGACTTACAACTGCAGGTGCAGAGAGCTCGGACTCCCAGGTGCAGCTTGCATTTCCTTTCTCCAGAACCTTTAAGGTCAACTGGTTAGCTTGCTTTGACCACAAATAGAGCTGTCTTAATTTCTCTAGCACAACCCTAACTTGATATGAAGCACTTACACGAGGAATGGTGCAGACAAAAAGGCAGCTTTATTACACTTTGGGAAAAAAAACAAAACATGATTCCATTTCGGGAAAACAAGCCATTGACACTTGATAACCAACACTGCCATCTAGCGGAATGGTGAAACACCACCAAGACTTTCAAGACCAGATACGAAATGCGTGCGGATTTGCTGGTTTAAATTTTCACCATAAAAGGGAACTTTTAATATGCTGGTCTTCAGAGAACCCTAGATTTTGAGAAACTATTTATCTGTGACATGCATAAATGTTATGTGCTTTCTCCGCTTTTTTGGGTAAAGAATGAGTTTTTAAAAAAATAGACCATCAAATTAATTCTCGATTTCAAAACGATGGAACACTTTGGGGCTACCTGCCTCTTTGAACATCCATCACTCTTACACTCTTGTTTGGCAGTCTAAACAGCAACCCCTGATTATGACAGAGAGGTTATAAAGAGGCAAAACTCAACTGTACAAGAACTACATTAAGTTTACTCATTTCCTCTGTTTTTACAATCTAGGGTGCTAAGTATTTGCATTGCACTTATTTGAATTCCCGGAAAAAAGCATTAGAATGCACCAATAACAATTTTGCATAAATCACATAACCCAAAGCTTATTATGACTACAGAATAACAGTGGAAGACACTGGTGTGAGGATGTGGGAATGCCGTTCTTAATGAATAATAAAGTAATTCTTGTCAAGGCTTTAATTCTCCTTTATACCCAGGTGTTGCAGTAACTGTGTTAATTTGATGACTTCTATGAGATTCTCATATAAATGAGAATATCTAATGAAACACCTGGATGAAAAAAGAAATAAAGTTGTGAGAATGACATATTGTTAGTAACCACAATCTCAAACTGGCATCCCTGTTATTACTGAGATTTTAGATTCTAGGTTAAGTGCTCTGCTCTTTGGAATATCCACAATGGTTATTGATCTTGCTAATGAGTTCCTCTACTGCAACATTTCTGGGTATATGGTTGGAGGCACTCACGGATTCCAGAATGCATGAGTCTGACACGGTCTTCAAACCATATTCGTTGCAAATAATCAACTCAGTTAAGGAATTCAGGAAGAGCCAAGTTCTGGGAGAGAGGTATACAAGTGTAGAGTAAGAAGTTGAATTAAAACATTTTTAGGTTGCATCCCTGTCAGTAGACACAACTGAATGTTTCAATTCTGAGAGCCTGAGATAGTCCAGAAAAAATTCTGAGCGTAGGACATGAGCGATCACAAAGTCAGAACCCAGTGGGTTGCGTTTCCCAGAGCAACATGAACTGAGGAGTGGCGGGTGGTCCCTGAAGTACTGTATCTGGATGAGGTTGTTCTTTTGAGGGTTAGTCTCGACTGCCTCAGTGTCCACTGCAATGTGCAACCACCACCCCCCTTCCCCAAGTGTGAAGCCTTCCTTTACCACATATTCAAGTCGACTGCATCTTTCACGTAACACTACTATTTGGCCACCCCTGAAGCCAAAGCAATAAAAGATGCTGGGGGAGCCTTTTATTAACTCAAACGTGATGCCCAAGTCATCTCCAAAAAAGTTTATTAGCATGATTAAAAACATGAATAATGACAGAAAGAATTTCTAAACATGAAAGATTATCAGTGGCTATACTTTATAACCAATATTGGCAATTCAATGGACAACTTTATTGCCAGTCTTCATTTTATTAAAAACAATCCATATTTATTGGTTCCATGTGAAGTCACGACTATTGCTTTGACTGGAAATGAGTCCCTACTGCAATTAAGTATAAAAAATATCTTCCATAATTGGAGCGTGACTTGCATTACTGAGTAAAGAGTTGATAAAAATCCTCAAAGAGTCGGGTTTTTGTTTTTTAAAAACATTCCTTTTACACACTACAAAGAAATAATTAGTATTTTGGCTTTTTAAATTCCTACATGATATTTAGAATGGCAGTCCTCAAAGGTCCTCCCTTCACATAATCACAAATGCAGACCCTCGTCTGGAGTGCACATTCTTGGGGTGGACTCTGAAGACCTCAGCCTCTGTGTTTATACTGGTTTGAGAACAAAGACAGCATCATCCAGAACGTAGTAGTCATTGTACATGTCGCCTTCGCACAGGTATGGCAGTCTGGTGAAAGCTTCGATAACAAACCCAGCTTTTCTGAAAACTTCAGGCAGACTATTCACTTGTTCTTCCCAATTCTGTCCCTTGATTTCCAAAATTTCTGATGGCTTCTCCCACTTGCCACCTACTAAAACAAATAAAAACATTAAGTTAAATTCTTGAACAAAGAAGTTATTTAAAGAGAGAAGGGGGAAGAACAGTATTTGTCAAGGACTTAGTATGTGCCAAGCCAAGCACTGGGTGCTTTGATGAATCATCTCCCACGTAACCCTGAGGCAGGAGGACAAAGCAAGAAAGCAGACTCAGAAGGGCTGAAGAACTTGCCCAAGCTTGCATGGTTAATGAGCATCAGAGCACAATTGTAATCCCAGGTTTATCTGGATCCAAAGCCCACCCTCTGACCTTCTCTGAGACTTTCGGATATTACCCTCCCTTTGACTGACTGAGTAACGGTTAATGGTTTTGGAAGACTGCTCATTAAATACTGTAATATTGAAACAAAGAGTAACACAAAATTTGAAAGACGGTTTTGGATAAATGCAAGAAAATACCACTGATAGAGTGAGCTTATACAATGTATTAGCTAGAGAAGTTTATCAGGCTGAATACAGACTAACGAAACGATTTTAATTTATAAAGCCAGATCATCAGTGTGTTTTTCAAAGGAAGCTGATCCACTCCCTAACTTTTCAGAACAATTTCATAAAAGTTAAGCTCCAGGACCAGAGAGAGGTAGAACCAGAATGGATGAGTCAACCTAGCATTTCTTGGAAGAGTGACTAAAGTCATGTCAGCCACTTCTAAACCTATGAGCATCAGATGCCTGAGGGGTTGGGAGGCTAGATAAGGTCTTCAAGTTCACACACACACAGATAATGGTGTATATAAATTCTGGGATGCTTCTAGGTACTATGGTGAAGTAAAAACAATATACATATATTAAAAGTGTTACTTAATTCAGATTGAGAATAACTTTCTGTAAATGAGAAAATATACAATGAACAGGTGCCAAGGGTACAAACACTATAGTGGAAAGATGTTTCATTCTTTTCAGTGGCCCAGCACGTGAACCCTCTTGGTGGGAGGCAAAGCCCAGGGCAGCAGCTTTCCCCGCCGTTCCTGTAGCTAAGGTACGGGCACGTGACCAGGAAGGTAGAGCTCGTGACCCAGAGAGGTGGGGACGTGGGCTCCTTCTCTGCGAGGTGGAGCAGTGGCAGTTCGATCAAATGGGTGGGGCAGCACTGAGTGGTACTAACGACAGTTTGGTCCACGCCATGGCATGTACTGCTTGGTGGCAGCAGTGTGCTTTTCAGATCAGTCTTATAGCACGATTTGGGGCATTCTTCCTGGTCCATGGTGGACCCCAACCATGATTCTCCAGTTCTCCCACTGACTCTCTGAGCTACCCCCAAACCCTTTTGCTTAAGTCAGCCCCAGTTTCTGCTGCTTACAAAGAAGAACCTGACTGATGAAACCTCCCAGCGTGCTGAGGGTGGGGATGATGGACACACAAGAGAGGGCTCACACAGCTGTTTCACAGCACATTAAAATGGGGTTACATCAAACTGGGGTACAACTAGTTAATGTCATACAACTTATTTCTTCATTGTACCATGATGTATTGTTCGCTAATTTTTCTCTTGTCTCTATATGAAGACACTTCCTTCTGCTGCTTCTCAATTTCCAGCAGTTACCAGTCCAGCACGAGGCCCCAGAGTAGGTGCCCAAGACAAGTGATTGAACCACTCTGGAAATTAAAAGTATGAATTATCTGTCAAACAATACTCCTTTACAAGAGCTACACGTAAATCGAAATCTTACTCAAAACATCTAACACCTACGAAGATTTGTAAAATCCAAGCATTTATCATATGAACATTTAGAAATGTGCCCTAGGCTAACATCCCAACTTTAAATGGTGAAACTCGGTTACAATCTTTACACAATTTCAAAAAGTTCCCGATGATGGTTCCTTAATAAGAGTTCCTCTCTTCAGTTCTTCCTTTCTAAAAAGAGCAAGAAAAAAAAGCCAGCTCTCTTCAAATACATACTCCCCCTCCAGACACACACACATACACACAGACATGGAGATCGTGAACGGAGGCAAGATCATTCTCGGTCTGAAAATCAAACTGATTCTATTTTATGTCGGTAAGGTTCTTTTTCTTCCTCCTCCATTTTATTTGCATCAATCGCTATTTTTTTCACCTAATGCATTTATATTTTAAGCAGCTAGAGATTAATTTTCAAATGTACAACATTATGGAAATTGTCTAACGTGATAAGTTTCCTTTTTCCCCAGAGAAATAGGTAATAAAAGAACAGCTGAGAAGTTTCATATTAACCTTGAAAATTCCCTTCGCTATTACACTGCTTTCAAGAAGAGCACCTCACCAAACGGTTGAAAATATCCTTAAAATCACATATGCTAGTCATCAACAATTTAGTTCCCACACAGGCAAACTGCCTGTGCACACGGCAGGCTCTAAACAATACCTGCTGAATATTTTCAAAGAACAATGTTTCTGAAAAGCTGCATTTCTATAAACTAAAGTACTTATTAAAAAAAAAACTGCAATGGCTCCTTCTACAGAGAATGACGATCTCATAATATATATTTTTAAAATTCTGCCTATATCTGTTTTTTCCTTCTGAAAGATAAAGTGTTCCCTATACAGAGTTCTAATAATTTCATCATGGTTTAAATAAATCTAACAATCTCAGATTTGCCCACAAAATTTGGGTCAGAGGGCAGGGAAGGGGGCAAAAGCTCTTAAAATTAATTTTTTCTCATCTGTAAACAAATGCATCAAAATGTTAGTGGGTTTTTTGGGCAAAAGGATGATAGGTGATTCCTTGCTCTTTCTTTCAGTAATATTCTATTTTTTTTCTAATAAGTATATATTACTTTTACAAACTATTTTAATTAGTGAATTCATAGTGAATTTAATAGTGAATTTAATTAGAAGAATTCATATCTTTTAAAAATATATTTTGCAAGATGTGCAGATAAAAATATCTGGAATTTGTAATACTACATGGGAGTAAAGGACCAGGCGGGGGGAGAGGTGAAATATGATCGGGTTGAAGTCGGGAGATGGCAAGGAGTTCATTCTGCTAGCCTGCTACTTCTGCGTATGTTTGAAAATTTCCATAATAAGACTTTTTTTAAGTTATCAAAACTTACTTTTCTACTTATTTTCTAGCTTGCTTTTAAAAACAGTAAAGCGATCTTTTTTTATTCCTTCTACCAAAGAGACAAACTTTCAACCTTTTCAGAGAGTACTGTGTTTTAAAAAAAAAAAAAAATCCTACAGAATATGAGAGTTCGTAAAAAGTTGTTGTTCACGGGAGTAGGCTGTGGTGTGACATATTATCCAAACTTCCCTTTTTTGCTAATATGTTGCATAACAGTGGGGGGGGGGAGACAGCAGTTTCCTCATAAGTCATAAGAAACCGATACAACTGGTTTTCTCCCAACTCAGGCTAACTGCGTAAAAGTCAAAAATAAGTGGAGATATGAAACTCCAAAGTTGCAAATAGTTATTTTACCCTGGGACATGAGTTCTCTAAGAAAAGTGTTACAAGTCAGCTTCCCTTGTAAAAAACACATCTGACAGAGGACTTGAGACCCAGACGCAGTTGGTTAACGTTGTTACGTTTTGGCAGGCCCAATTCCACTCCAGATTTCCAACAGACAATGATCATTATACACTGCGAAGTGCTTCTCTGTACTTCTGAGGTGACTGAGTCCCAGTAGGAAACACGAGGTTCCCTCAGCTGAAGCCGTGTGAGAAACCTGCTGGTCTTCTCCAGGTGATTTTACCCCCTCATCCGGTTTGTTCTTATCGTCACTAAAGAGCTCCCAGGTCATCTCAAATTGTACAAATACTAAAATTAAAACATGGTGAGAACAGAGCTGCCTCACAGTAAGACCTAGAAGAAAAATGTTAAGTGCAAAAAGCCCATCTGAAACTTAAGCATCAGACCACTTGGATTACTTTTCAATTTCAGTTACAGTAGCAAAGGACAAACTCAGACAAATAAGACCATTTGGAAACATATAACCAGGCAGAAGTCAGACTAAAAACTCGCAAAAATTCCCAATTTGTCTGAACCAGTACTATTTTACACAGGGCCTCCCTTGCCCCCAAAAAGGGTTTAGGGCAGGTCTCCTCATTATAAACACCTGAGTGGCTTTCCAGCTTCACATGCCTGGCATTAGAAACCCACAGTCAGGACCCAACCTCCATAACCTGGGAAGCAGCACGACATGGTGGAGAGAGCAGAGCACTGGACCGGGTGTCTAGTCCCAGGCCTGCTAACATATGGCTGAGACCTCCACAATTATCTCTAAAAGGGGCAGCTGACAATGTGGGAACAGGAGTCGTGACAGCAGCAGAAATAGCCACCTTCTATTAAACACTTACTATGGCTTAGGCAAGTAAATACTCGTTATGAATCGATGGTCTCACTTAAACTTCACACAAACCCCAGGAGATGTATAATGCCATCCCCATTTTGCTAATGAGGAAACTGAGATGCACAGACCAGAGAGCTAAGATCTGAACTCCAGTCTGTGCTCTTTATCACAACATTGTTCATCAAATAAGATAAAAGCTACAAGGGACTACAAAGCAGTGTACAAGTGCCAGGAAGAAATCACATTTGCTTAGCCGTTCCATGGCAGCTCATTAGGCCTCTGCTTAGTAACCAAAAACGTCACAGGCTAAGCCAGGGCTGCATTTCCCCAGGTGTCCACCTTGCTTTTACAATGTTTCCCATAGGGACAACCAGGTTCACAAAGGAACATTTGTGAACTGCCATGAATTCCTAGTGATCCCAACCCCCAAAAGACAAAAACAACCCCTACTACTCATGGGCTCAATCAGTGGCGGTGGTATTTGCATGAGGGGCTTTGATACCCGTTACCACATTGAACACAACACTCCCGTGAGGCCAGGGGTCCAGATGAGGAAAGAGGCTCTGAGAGATGAAGTGATCTGCACAAGATCGAAGGACAGCTTGTAACACCAAAAGTGCACATGTGGACCCCAAACTTCTGACTCCGGATCTGCTGCCACCTCTGCTCACGATGCAAATTCCACTGGAACCTCTGGGGCTTTCCCCAAGTAACATGACATCACTGCGAACCAGCAGGCTAAGACCAGGAACCACGGAGAGTTAGGAAAAGTGAGGACTGCTAGGGTCTATTTTTATGGTTCTGTTGTGTGGGAGTGAGGTAAGAAAAAAAAAGGAATTTTCGGTCTTCTAACCCCAAAATGCCAATAAAATAGAAGCAGAGGCAAAGGGGGGTGAGAAACCCACTCAGCACGGTTCATCCGCTTCCTCCCACAGGTGCCGCGGGCGACTGCACCGTCTCGGTCTCTCAACCGAGTCAGCTCACGGTGGACTACACTCAAGAGGCCGTTACCCTGCAGTGTTCCTTCTCCACAGCCGGGTGCCCTTCAGAGCCCCCAACGAGCCTGTGGTTTCGCTATGGTGCTCAGCAGCCCGAGAACCTCTGCTCGGATGGATGTAGAAGTGAGGCAGACAAGTTCGTAGTGAGGGAAGCCCTGGCACAGAACCAAGTTTCTCTCACTGTGAACCGGGTGGCTTTCAACGACAGTGCAATCTACATCTGTGGGATAGCCTTTCCCAGTTCACGGGAACCGAGAGCTAAGCGAACCGGAGGAGGGACCACGCTGGTGGTTAGAGGTCAGTCACTTCAGGCTTTATCCCCGTAAGTCGCATGTTGCTCAGCCCCTTAAATGCATTACATTACTTATACGCAGAGATTATGAGATAAATTTGTAGGGCGTGATCTGAGCACAAGCCGACATGAAGTTTCGATTGAAGAACTACTCTGACCCCATCTCCCAGCTTCCACAGGCACAAAGTCAGGGTTATGTTGAGTGCTGTATTCTCTCTCAAAGTCCAGATTTTACTAGTGAAGGCTGACCAACTATGTCCTCCTTTCTGTATATTGCAGTGATTGTGTAAGGTACCAAGTCCAAAGAGAAACTTGTGAGGACTGCCAGCTGGTATGGCACCATCTAGAACAAAGCACTGGAGAAGCATAAGCAATCAATAAATTGGACCTCCCCAAAATACGCATTATGGAAAAGAAACACAAATTTGGGGAGAAGCCACAGGGGGATCCCTGACCCTACCCCCATTCTGAATGGACAGCAGAGAAAGGGATTGGGGTGGCTCTGGCTTCTTGAAATTTCCTAAAACTCATGATAATTTCCTCATTCAAGTGAAGAAAATGAACCCAGCTAAGTCCTGTAAACTAAGAAATTAAATTAAGAAATTTCAGAAAAAAAAGCTTCACACGATTCTGGGGGAAGGAAGAGAAGGGCAGTAACTCCTTGCTTTTTTTGGATTTCTTCCCTTAAAAAGACTTGTATGATGAGCACTGAGATCATTAAAACATGACCTCAAAATCAACCAGCCTTTTCCATTTTAAAATAGGACTTTGAGGACCTGAGATTGTCCTGTATTGTAATCCCTGCTTTTAATTACTAGGGGTGTTCTAACGGGCTTCTGATATTCCACTGTCATTTAACCTTAGTTTATTCTCACCGTAAAATAAAGTATAAATGTGTTAATACACATAAAGCACTTTTAATGGTGCCTGGCTTATAGCCAGTACTAAGTAAATGTTAGCTACAGATATTAAAACAAACACACAACAACTTTGGAGGGCTGTATATCTTACTGCATTAGTCTCCTACAAGAAATGTTAGCCAAAAGAAAAAATGGTTTGTAAAGAGATGAGGTCTCAAAACTGCAAGATTTGTGAAGAGAGATTCTTTTTCTTTAGGAGCAGAAAATGAAAACTATCATTAAGATAGACAAGGCAATTTCCTGCCTTTTCTACAGAGCACCTAACTTAGCACTTGAAACCTTTTTTTTTTTTTTTTGCTGAGGAAGATTCACCCTGAGCTAACATCTGTTACCAATCTTCCTCCTTTTTTTTTTTTTTATTTTTTTTTTTTACTGTGTGCCACCGCCACAGCATGGCCACTGAAAGACGAGTGGTGTAGGTCCACATCTGGAAACCAAACCCAGGCCGCTGAAGCAGAGCATGACAAACTATTAACCACTAGGCCACTGGGGCTGGCCCTCCAAATTTTTTTTTCGTAAAGTTTTACAGATATGGTTTATTAGTTTCACAACAAAGATGTAAACATTGTATAAACTGAGTTCACAGGATAAGCATCTATGGGATATTTAGTTGAAAAGTACAGGTTACTCCGATAATAATTACAAATCTAATTTCTATGGCATGCTTCAAATAATAGGGTACTTTAAGACGTGGCATGTTACTCCATCCCCACCTAGAGCACAGGACACTTCCTGCAAGGAGGGAGAAACTCAGAATGTGAAAATGGATTCAATAATTCTATTTCCAAAACCTAATTAGAAAGAAGGGGCAGATGTAACAATGCCTGTCTTTAAGCGTCGGTGAACCCTAAGAGCCTCAATGTGTGGCCTTCTCAGGTTCTTTACAGGTTCTATTCAGCTGTGTATACTAAACAGCTCAAGGGTATACATACCAGCATTAAGAAATACACAGGAAAATACCCTAACTCCATAAACAGATTCTTGGTGACACTTGTACATCATGTCTACCAAAAGAAATTTTAAGTGCCCTTGAACAAATTGTCTGAAAATGTTTATCTAACTTTAAGTAACACTTGATATAAAAAGTGATTTTTAGCATCATGACAAGTAATTAATTGAAGTTTAAAAAATTTTTGGTTTTAAAAACAAGAAACATTTTTGGTATAATACATTTAAAAAACTGACGAACTAGCTTTAACAACAGCATATACTTGAGCATCTTCTGAATCAAGAGACCCTGAATAAATTTTTATGTGAACAGCCGGCAGAGGAAGTTCATGTTTCACCTCTAACAGGTCGCTTCAGTTATACTTTATATATGTGTTTGCAGTAATGTTTCAATAGTGACTGTGGCTCTTTCTGTTTTTGTAATTAACAAAAGAAGTTAAGCTTCTGAGCAAGGAACTGCAGAGTCTCCTGACAGCTCTCCTAACACTGCTCTCTATCTATGTTACCGGAGTCCTCGTGATCTTCATAGTCCTCTCCAAAGTAAGTCAAATTTCTTTGCATTAGATGTCCCTATTGCCTTGAATGTTATCATAAGAAAATAGTTCCCTTGGGCCGGCCTCGTGGCTTAGCGGTTAAGTGCTCACACTCTGATGCTGGCGGCCCGGGTTCGGATCCTGGGCGCGCACCGACGCACCACTTCTCCGGCCATGCTGAGGCCGCGTCCCACATACAGCAACTAGAAGGATGTGCAACTATGACATACAACTATCTACTGGGGCTTTGGGGGAAAAATAAATAAATAAATAAAATTATTAAAAAAAAAAAAAAAAGAAAATAGTTCCCATCTCTCCACACGTGAGCCTCAGAAATAGCTCACCTAATTAACATCTTCCTGTGCATCTGCAGGAAACACCACCTGCAGGAGAGGTCTGTACAAGAAAATACACATTTTCATCACTGGAATTATTATTAACTGGAGTACACAATTTACAGCGCTTGCTCTTTAAAACTCAGTAATATGGGAATAAGAGACTCTTCTTCTTCATAACCATTTTATATGTTATCTTTCTGCTGGGGGGAAGGGGGTTAATGTTATCTATGAAAGGTCTAAGAATAGTCTTTAAGAGCAAAAAGGGGTTAACAAAGAGATTAGAAGCTGCCTTCAAGTTTCTGAGAAAGAATATCTTCTGGCTGTTTATACACTATAAGAGAGGGTACATATGTGTTATATTAGGATTACTATAAATCCTATAATCAGCATCAGTTTGAGTTGTTATTTTATTAATAAAATCATCTCAGAAATGACATGAAATATTCAGCTAGTTTAATCTTATTATGGTTGAGATAGCTGCCACCATTGTTCTGAGTGCATAAAAGGTCTTATAAGACTTTCCTTTTCTTCTTGACAGTCGAAATCTGACACTCTAAGAAACAAAGAAACAGAAGATTCACAAAAGGTACAGACCACTGCTTATAAAATATCTTTTAAATTGTGGCTGGTTGTAACTATTTCAAATCTGAAATAGTTTAAGAAACACAGAGAACATCATGGTACCTTTCAACCATAGATACTGTTTCCTATTGTTGAGAAACTCAGTGATAATCTCAAGTGGCAAACTGTGATTTAAATTTGATAGTTCTCAACCATAAAGTCTACTTAATATACTTAAAATACAAGAATTGACAGCAGGTGTAGATGTGCTGGTGGGGGGTGGTTTCTGAGACTGATGGCCATAAAGAAGAAAAAGTTCTGAGGATGTGCAACCATCATCGCTTCCAGCCCTAAGAGAGAGAGACATTTTTTCTCATTTGTATTTACAGAAGAAGAGTGCCCGGCGTATTTTTCAGGAAATTGCTCAAGAACTATATAATAAGAGACACGTGGAAACAAGCCAACAACCTGTAAGTGTAAAATATCAAAAAGCTATAATGCAGATAAAAAGCACGTTTGACTAAAAACACTAAGCTGCCCACAAGCCGTTAATAATCATGTTTTCCTTTAGAAAGAGTCTGAAAGAGGACTTCCACATATAATGCATTTTATATAGAACCTGTTTTGATAAACAGATAACAAAGGACATCTGATACAATATTAAATAGAGACCAGGCTGGCATCTTAGCAACATGGAATCTTTCAGAAACACACCAGATACAGGCAATGTTTTCAATACAGACAAGGATGCCCTTATGGATTAAAAGCTACTTTGCACAGTATCTTGCATGCAGCAGTAGGCACTAAGTAGATGCTGCAAACACTTGTGAATCAAATTATATAGAAAACAGTACTTGTTGCTAATAAAGCAGAAATAAACTCACATTAGAAAAGATGCAGCTAATGAAAATAAAAATTGAGTATTTCTTCAGTCTGGGGTTGCAGTGGTAGGAAGAATAATCTATATTATCTATAATACGTTCTGACAATGTCTCTTTGAAGTCCCATAGAAACAGGTTTTTCAAATAAGATGCTGCTTTAGAACTGGTACAGTAGATACTCGGTTTCCATGATGCATGATCAGAGCGCTCAGATTTAAATTAAAACATATAAAAACAATGAACTTATATACTACTAAGGATATTTTCATCTTAAACAGCAACTGGGAGGGCAAATGTAACAGGTTTCTGATATGAGGTGTGTTTCTTTTAAATCCAACTTTTAAAAAGGATTTTCATCCAGGAAAGAATATCGTCTAAGTAGTCATTTCATCCTTTAACGTATATACAAATAGATAAAGAAAAGGTCTAATTACCAAAGACAAATGCCTATTCACACTTGTGACTTACTGAGGCTGGGGCACCTTTTTCAGCAAAGAGGCAAAGGGAAGTGGCCTGCAGACAGGCCTGGAAGTAAGAACTGTAACACGCTGTAAGCCAGGGCTTTGACAATGGCATCTGAACAAGAAAATTAATTTCAGTTCCCACATCTTGATCTAAATACAGGAAAAATGGTAACTTGAACTTTAAGATTACTGGAAGGGTACTTCGGTCCCAGAATGCAAGATGGCATTGTAGCTTATACGTTGCTTGCAGCATGGCATCATTGCTTATATAACCTTAAATATGGCTTGTTCTTTACTATTGCAGGAGAAGGACAACACTTATGAAAACAGAAGAGCACTTTCCAACTATGAAAGACCATAAAAATCTTTTAATTTTCAATTAAGTCACTTAAAATTCAACTCCAGAAGCTATGGCAGTGTTAATGGAGATACACTCAACAGGGCTTTGAAAAAACAAACAAAGGTAAATGGAAAAGACAACTGGCTACAAGGAGGGATGCCAGGGTACAAGGAAACTGTAACCCATGGTAATTACCAAAATACTAAAACCCAACAAAATGCAACTGAAAGATACTTTCCTAATTTGCTAGGAGAATGCTAAGCAGTCTAACATTTTTGAAAGCTTCCATTTTTATAACATATATCCTATATTTGCTTCATTCAACAAACGAGGTATGGGATGGCTGTTACCCTGAAGAAGATCTGAAGTCACACCACACACCTCAGTCTTGAGTGGAAGAATTGTCTTTATGGCCTGTGGACATGATGTGCCAATTAGACTAAGCTGGGAGGGAAGGCGGAGGGAAGAAAGGGCCAACATTTCAGTTAGAGAAAATCATCTTGAAAAGTACCCTGGAGCGAAATTATTTCCTCTGGTATTGCCATGGGGCAACAGCACAGTGCATATTTTCCTGCCAGGGTATGCAAAAGAACTTACATCATGCTACCAACAAGAAGCAAGACTATTCCATTGTGTATATATACCACAGCTTCTTTATCCATTCGTCCCTTGATGGGCACTTAGGTTGCTTCCAAGTCTTGGCTATTGTGAATAAC